AAGCTAAGAGGATCTCTTGTGTTAAAAAATATAGGTTCAATGCTACCATTTTTTTATTATTTTTTTATTATTTTTTTTATTTTTAGGTTCAATGCTACCATGATGCTTGAAAAGAGCAAAAATAAGAGGATTTTATTTGTGGGGGATTCAATAGGGAGAAATCAATGGGAATCTCTACTTTGCATGTTATGGATAGGCATTGCAAATCAAAGTAGAGTTTATGAAAAATATGGGAGCCCAATCTCAAAGCACAAAGGAAGCCTTATCATCTTCTTCAAGGACTATAACCTAACCATTGAGTACTATAGGGCTCCTTTCCTTGTGGCTATTGGTAGACCTCCACCAAACTCTCCTACCATTGTCCACAAAGCTATTCATGTTGATATGCCTCATTGGGAATCTAAGAAGTGGGTCGGCGCCGATGTTGTTGTCTTTAATGCTGGGCATTGGTGGAATGACGATAAGACCCTGAAAAGGTAGACTGAATGTTCTCTTTTCTCCTTATTTTATATGTTAGAATTTTAAACCATCTCGTTGTATTTTATGAGGTTGGCGTAGTGTAGGTGTCAAAATAGGTTGATGGATTCAGTTCGGGTCTGAATCACACTAGTAACCCGAATGAGCCGACTCACTAGTAACCCAAATGATTTGAATCTGACCTGTTAACATGTTTTGGTTTTAAAAAAATTATAACTTAAAATTTGATATTTGATAAACAAATAAGAATGTTATACCCACAAGTAAAAAAACTTGAGGTAAAAATATATTAACGGGCCATTTTCTGGGAAAAAAAATGGGTTTGTGGGTCAACTCAAATCTGGTCAATTTAATATACCTGTCAAAAAATCCAACCAAAACCCAATTTTTTCCAATCGGGTTTGGGTAGAGTTGATGGGTCGGGTCATTTATTAACACCCCTGCCATAGTGGCTCTTTATCGACGAATAAATATTTTTCTTATGCTGGCTTCTTTTAGGCTTCATTTATGACGGCTTTTTTATTGCTTCTTAAAGCAGCTTTTTAGTTAAATTTTTTTAATTTTTGTACTTAAAAGCTGCTTTAAGAAATAGTAAGAAAGTAGACCCAAACGAGCGAAAAAATTAATGTTTTAAAACCTAATTAATCTTCACAAAAATATTCTTCTATATTTATTGAACTGCATACCTTATTATTGAACTATTTATCATCTTCTTAAAATAATTTTCATAATCTAAGTTTTTTTTTTTCAATGTAATGCACATTTCAGTGGAAATTATTTTCAAATTGGGAACAAAATAAATATGACAATGGACGTTAAGGAAGCTTTTCGTAAAGCTATTCGAACCATAAAACAATGGGCAGATCAGAATCTCCTTCACAGAAAGAGCTTTGTCTTCTTCAGAAGCTTCTCTCAAGCTCACTACAGGCAAGTTCCAATTTATCAATTTCTTTATTATTTTTTATATAATTTTAAATTATAAAAAAATATTTTTAAAATTAATTATTAAATTTTA